GATGCTCGTCTGGTCACCAGCACAAGCGAGAAGGCAGGGAAGCCAGCTGGGCTCTGCTTAGCATGCCCCTAATATGCTTATGATGGCAGTTGTCCTGGCTGTCGGTGTCCTGTCAGTGCGAGGCTCTCCGTGGCTGCCCGCTCTGTGCCGGGGGTCACGTCTGGGCCAATGCCCGTGTTCTGGGGCTGCCTCGCAGACTCGGCTTTGGCCCGGGTGCTGCAGAAGGCAGCTGCAGCCTTGGCTTGGCTGGTAGCTGGGCCCTTTCCCTTGCTGGCCGAGAGAGGAAAACTCTTACCACTCGATTAACTGGGGATTACCGGGGCTGGGGGCAGATTGCAGTGATTTAGCAGCCCAGCAGGAGGGCGGAGATGTCTCTCTGTCTGTCTGCCTCCTCTCAGCCCTTTCTGAGCAGGTGGGCAGCCTCCTGCTGGCTCTCCTGACCGAGGACTCACAAGGGCAGTGCGCTGCCCGCATTGCTGGCACCCAGGCATCCCCCGGCATGTGTCCTGGCCTGGGCTGTGGGCTCCCCTGGCCATGCCGGGCATGGAGCCGACAGGTGTGTAGGGGACTTGGAAGACGTCTTTGCCTGACCTACTAGGGCTGATCTGTGAGGGTCCTGGGCCACCTGCAAGTGGGCAGCCCCCAGGTGTGGCGAGGGAAGCCCAGCCCTGCACTTGGTCGTGACCAGACTAATCCCAAGGGTGGGTGAGGTCCCGGTGAGTGGCGTTGGACTGTGTCCCGTTACAAGCCCTCATCCACCCGCAGTCTGTGTCGTCGGGGTCGAGGCAGCGGTGCTGGGCTGGCTCTGCGGGCCGTGCTGTGGGCCGGAGCGGCAGGAAGCCCTTTGCCATGCCCCTGGGGTGCACATCCGTGCTATTTCTGGTCATTGCCCAAGAGCTTCCAAGCGGATAATCTCCTAATCGCCAGCTCCTCAGGTTCATCTTCACTTGTCTTTGCCGGAGACCTGGCTTATGTCTGGGGCGCCAGCTCCTAAATAGCCGCTGACCTTGTTGGCTAAAGCACGTTAGGAAACAGGCTGGCATGACCGCCGGGATCTCTCTCCTCCCGTCACGCTGCCAGCTGCGGCCTCCCCCACTGCACCGCTGCTCCCCTCCCAGGGAAGCAGGGGCACCCATGGCTGGTGCTGTGTTGCTGGGGTTGCAGTCTGTCTTTGGAGGGCAGTGTGTGTTGTTCTGCATGTGGCCTGTGCTGTGGGGGCCAGAGTCGTGTTGGGTGCATGGAGGAGAGTGGCTGTGGGGCAGAGGACCAGGGTCCCCTGGTTGGCGGGCCATGTGCACCACCTTGCTCCTTGACTGAAGGATGGCGAGAGGCTGCAGCCCGGGGCTGGGACCCTCTTGGGTGTCTCATCCTTTGCCTAGTAGCACAGCAGAAACTCACTGAGCTGTGCACGGGGTGGGATGCTCCCACCCCCCAGGCAGGCACCAGTGGCCGTGACGCATGCACCGTCCCCTCCCCAAGGGCTCATCTGCATTGCTTTCCAAGCCGCTGGAGTTATAGGACTCGGAGCTGAGCGAGAGACAGCAGCCCAGAGTCAGGGGCCCCAAGCCATCTGCTCAGCACTGAGCCAGCCGGGCTCCCGGTCCAGCGGGGGGGTCCCTGCAAAAGAGAAGGAGCACGAGTTCCACCGGTGGAAACCCCGGGAGCTGCATAGGTGCAGGAAGGCCTGATAATGCAGCACGGGGCGGGTGCAGCTGGGAGCTCTGGTTCTCCGGCCGGCGCTGATGGAGCTCCACTGCACGTCTGTCCAGTGCCTGCCCGGTGTGTCGGGCCCTCGAGCGAATCCTCCGAGCGAGTGGGAGGTGCAGCGTGGCTGGGGCACCACGTGGCTGGGCTGGGCCCTGGCATGTCCTGCCCTTTCCTGTCTCATGGCAGCAGGAGGGGTGTCAGCGGCAGGTTTCGCCCAGGGTGCGTGGGCGCTGGCATGCAAACACGCGGTGACACGGACTTGTTCCTCTTCCTTCTTTCTCTGCGGAGTCCCCAGAGGTTGTTTGGGGGGAAAAGATGCTTTTCCCTCTCTGCAGCAGCCGCTGCTCACCATCCCCCTGTCGCGGGGGTAGGCCCAGTATCAAGGCCGTGCTGCTGTGTACCCAGGCTGGGATTCCCCCTCCTTGCTGGTCCTGTGGGCGGTGGCAGGATGTAGCGGTGGAGTTGGAGGCCCGTCTGTCCCAGGCCCGTGTCTGTGGGTGCCTCTACTAGTAGTGTGCGCGTTCAGGCCAGGCTCTCGCTGCAGCCATCAATGCGGTCCTGCAGCATGGTCCCGTGATGGCTCCTGGCCCCTTAACATGGCCATGTCCTGGCTCTGGTGAACGGGCAGCAACATCCACGCTGCCTCAGTGCAGGATCATCCCCTTGCGCTCAGCCTGGGGACAGGAGCCCAGCCCTTGCACTGAGTCTGTGCGCGGAGGCAGCGGGGCCTGGTCCCAGCTGCCCAGGTCGGTACGTGGGGCTGAGGACAAAGGAGAAGGTGTTTGTGGGTCCAGACTGAGGTTTAGTGTCCTGTACGTCGGGTGGCCTAGCCATGTGCAAGGAGGTCTTGGCTGTGGGCGTGGAGCTGCCTCGGGCCAGTCACCGTGCTTGTGTAGGGAAGCTGGGGGCAGCTCATTCGCTTCCACCCTTCGTGCTGCTTCGGATCAAAGGCCCCCGGTGCCCTCCCCTCCCTGGCAGGCTGGCGACTCGGCCTCCTGTGCTGGCAAAGGGCTGAGAGATGCAGCGTGAGAGCAGCTGGGAGGTACTGGCAGCCTCGCTGTGCCGGTCCCGGCGGGGCATGGGCTGTCCGGAGAAGCCCGAGAGTCCCCCCTGCCTCGAGCAACGAAGGCACAGCTGACTTTGTCCCTCCACCCAAGACAGACCCGGCGCTGCCTTCTTCCCGCGCCTCGCCCGGAGCCGGGCGCAGTCCTGCGGATGTGACGTCCTGGCTAGCACCGAAGGCACGTGCCAGCAGCCCGGAGGGTGCGGGCCCCAGGGCCGAGCAAGGGGCTCCTGCCAGGTCCAAGCTGTTTCAGGGCCTGCCTGGGGTCGTGGTCTTCCCCGGGCAGCGATGCTGTTCCCAGCGGGACTGCCATACGGCTGCCAGCTCCTTTGAGAAATGCCCGTGTGTGGCTGTGTGTGTGTGGTGCTGTCTGGGTCTCAGATGGCAGGTTTTCTCCGCTCGGGAGGCAGGCGCCTCCATCCAGGCTGGTGGGAGTTTGGTCTGTGCCATGTCTCGGTCGCCTCTTCCCTCTGTCCTCCCGGGCGGTGCCCGCCGAGGGGTCTGGGAAGGACGACTTGGTCCCAGCACCGCCCCTGGCAGCTGGCATCTCCCGCTGGGCGTCCAGGCAGGTACGGGGATGCGGGTGAAGCCAGGCCTGCTTCACGGGCTCCCCTGGAAGAGGCAGGGCAGGCTCGTAGTTCCCACCCAGCCGGCGTCTGCCTTCGTCAGCTCTTTGCCCGCAGCTCCGCTCTGCTCCCTCTCGTTTGGATGAGCCGCTGACATTGTTCCTATAGCAACCGCTGCTGCCAAGGAAGAGGATAAAATGGTTGCCATGGCGCTCGTCGGGAAAGGAAAACACATAATAATGAACTGTGGACAAACAGGAGAACGGGCCTGGCAGGGCTCGGGCAGGGCTGGCGGCTCCTGCACCCCTGCCCCTCCGCGCAGTGGGGTAAGGGGGGTCCTGCCTGTGAAGCAGTGGCCTTTGGGTCTGGCCCAGAGGACCCCAATCCAAGTCAGGCTGGTGGCGGGTTTGCACGGGTTGCCCACCGGCCCCGTGCTTTCCCACAGTACCAGCCTCAAGCGCAAGCGCAGGGGTTTGCTGCACCCTGGGCCCCTGGGGCACTTTTAGTGCCAGGCTGTCTCTCACTCCGGTGTCGCCAGGAAATGAGGACTTGTGCAGCCAGGTAAAAAGGCGATGGGCTCCCACCGGGCTTGTGACGAGGCCTAGCTCTCTGCTAGGGAGAACTCGTCCTCCCAAAGCAGCAGCCATCAAGGGGCCGCTGGGGTCCCGTCCGCGCTGCGCTGCTGGCTTTGGGCTGATAGCATCCTTGCCAGACCCCATTTCCTTTGAGCTGCTGGTGACAGCGCTCATCATTAAAAGCCTCCAAAAAGCAAGTGTAATGCTTCTGTTCCCTGTGCCAGTGGGCATGTCGGCCTCTGCAGGCACGGAGATGGCTGGATGGGGTTGCTCATAACCCAGATGACGTGCACGGTGCTGGCCAGCAGCAGGGCAACGGCTGAAATGCAGCCGACTTCGTCTCAGCAGGCTCCTGCCGGGGGCCGTTGGGCAGGGAGGGCCGCCTGGCTTCCTTCGTATGACCATAACGGTGGGCAGGATTGAGGGTCCGTGCACCCAGGCAGGCCTGTGCTGCATGGCGGGGACGTGCCCAATGCTGTGGCATCAGAATGGGGGGGCTCGTGCCGCACGAGACGTGGGCATGTGAGAGCTGGCAGCTGCAGGCACCGGTGCCATCCCTGCATGTGCTGGAAGCTCCTGCTTGCCGTGCGGTGGGTCTGTGCCCACTTTGGACCTGGGGAAGCAGGTGCTGAGTGAGGTGACTGACCCGCAGCAGTGGTGGGAAGGGAAGAGCTGGGACTAGGCTGCCGAGCAGGCTGTCATATGTCAGTCTTGCATGTGTCCATGCACCAAACCTATCAGGATTTTGCTGGTATTAAGGCGTTGCAGGGGCTTGCCGTTGTGACTTGAATAGTGACAGCCGGGACCTGCATGGTAATGGGTGGGGAGCCGCTGAGGTCCTCTTCTGTGACAGCAAGGTTGATGCCCAGAGGCTTGGCTTCAAGGCAAGGACAAGGTGGGCAGCCTTGGTCTTCAGCCCGTGTTACTCCTGCTGGAGGCAGGGAGGAGCCTCCCTTCCAGCTGCGCGGTCCGGCTCCATCCCGAGGTAGCAGCGCTGGCCCTGGAGGGCGCTCGGGGAGAGGGGAGGGGAGGCGAGGCAGCCCCGTGCCAGGGGCAGGGAGGGGGAATCTCTTGTTCTATTTAAGTGAAGGCGGCTTAATGCCCACAAAGCTGCTTAGCACTTGCATTCTGCCAGAGGACGGCTTTAGGGAGAGGCAAAGCCTCTTAAACCAAACAGGCCAGGGCGCACTGGAGGTGCCGGCCCCTCGCCAATGCCCCGGAGAAAGTGGGTCCTGAAAGCGCAGGGCTAGGGTTGCAGCAAGGTGACAGCCCCCCCAGGCCATGGGGAGAGGCGCTGTTCACCTGTCCCTTGCATGCTGGGGCCTGCAGCCCCGCGGGGTGCGGCTGTGTTAGCGAGGGACGGGGCGTGGGGCTGGGTGCAGCCACCCACAGTTGGCCGTGACCCTGCGGCCAGTCTTTCCCTCACTGACTTTGCGTGTCCTCTGCAGATTATCTGTGCACCCCGGAAGAAAACATTTACAAGATCGACTTCACCAGGTTCAAAATCCGGGACATGGAGTCCGGCACGGTGCTGTTTGAGATCACCAAGCCGCCTGTGTCCGGTGAGTGCCGACTGGCGCCGCGTGGCTGCAAGTGACCCCTTGCTCTCTCAGCCTCGGGCTGCAGGCCCTGGCCGGCCCAGGGACGAACAGGGCAGCTCAGAGTCCGGTCCATGTAGTTAAGAATAAAAGTCAGGGCCTGGAAACCCAGGTGCAACAGGTGAGGCCAGGAGAGATCAAAGTCCTTGGTGGCAACTCAGCTGCATAGCTGAAATGTCAGTCCCTGCCCCGGTATGGCAGATGCAGGCCTGGGCTCCCCTGCTGCAGTTCCTCCGATGCCTTTCCCTGCCACTCAGCATCTCTCACAAAAGCAGGGAAGAAAAGCATCTCCAGAAGCAGGCTCCGTGGGAAGGAAACGGGCCGTGACGTGCTGTCAAACCAGCGGGGAAAACAACAGACAACACATATGGTTTTGCCTTGCCTGCTATCACTGCTCTTCCTTGTTTGTCACCTCCGGTAGCAACGAAGATTCGGGCACCCGCGCGAGGCTTTCAGTTGTTCCCTTCTAAACTCCCCGTTCGCTGCACGTCAGACCAACTTTTCTCCCTGTTTGTAGATGGGGAAACTGAGGCGCGGGGCTGAAATGGCTTGTTTGAGGTCAGGCTGCAGTCAGTATAGCAGCAGCCTCTGGGGCTCGCAGGTCTTAATCCGGGGCTCAGACCTGTAGGCTGCTCTTTACAGTCCACAAAGCAGCTCAGAGGCCTGGGAGCCTGAGGAGTGCTGGGCCTTTGCGAACAAAGCACATGGTAGGCAACCGTCTCAGCCGCTGCAAACTGAACTGCTCTGAGTTTGCTCGCAGTTAGGTTTGGGGCTGAATGCTTCTTGCTGGTCTCGGTGACGGGGGAACGTATGCACAATCTACATTGCAACTGCAAATCCATGCGCTGTCCTAACCGGCCACCTGCAAGGACTGGGTGTGGGGGGGGGACGTGAGCTGCATCCAGGGTAAGGTCCCTAGTGCCATGGAGGACGAGGCAGCGAGCGAGTCTGTGCTGGAGGGTTCATAGTATCTCATTTATCCTGCTGTTTTGGCCGAAGCCTCTGGGGTTTCATAAATTTCCTGCTTATGCCAAACCTACTCCCGATGAAGCCATCATGTTATATACAGCCCTGACTGCTTCTCTAGGGAGACACCAGTTCGCCTCCACGTCCTAAGCTGTGTGTTTGGCAGCAGGGAGGCAGGAGAGCAAGTCCAGATTGTTCATGCGGGAAGCGCAGGAGCTGGGCGCAGCAGCTTCATTGGGAGAACCAGCCCCTTGCTTGCGCGACGGATGGGTGATTTCACTGGGAGACTGATGCGCTCGGTTCTTCCGCGCTCGGTCGCACAAGGCTGGTCCCCCACCAGCAGTCTCCCGGCAGCCGCTGAATGGGAAGATGTGCCGTGGCTGCGCACTGCTGCAGGGCGGCTGTGCCAGATCTCACCCCCTGAATCCTCCCTTCCAGCTCACCGCAGGCAGGCCGTACCCACCTTGTGCAGAGAGCCAACCGCTCTGTGCCTCGGTTTACCTGTGCCATATTTGGCTGGGGTCCAGCAATGTGGGGGCAAGCTCCGGGGGTCTCTGTGGGGAAGGGCCAGGCAGTGTAGCAGCCCACCCCGTGGCAGCCCAGGTCTGTTTCCCCATCCCCGCTGATGGAGAGTTGGTTTGTGCCTTTGCAGAACGTGAGCACAGTGATAAGAAGGATGTTGACCCCAATGCCGGCCGGTTTGTGCGCTATCAGTTCACCCCGGCTTTCCTTAGACTTCGGCAAGTTGGAGCTACGTAAGTAACTGGCACCTGGGGCTGGTGGACGTGTTCGGGTTGGGGCGAAAGGGTCGTTGATCTCCGTAGCGGATGGGGCAAAAGGGTCGTTATCTCGCTCCTTGTACCAGAAGGGTTATGTGCAGCCCTTGGATTCCTCATGTCCTGTGGTTTGAGCGGTCTCGCCCTCAGTACCTCTGCTCCGAGTGTGTATTGGGTTCACACAGTCCCTGTCTTGCACTAAGCCATTCTAATTTGCTTTCTCCTGCACTCTCAGTATTTCTTCTCCCTTCTTTAGCATCTACAAACAGGTAAAACAAACTAGGAAGTGTATGTGGCCGGGCGTGCCCTTAAATATGGAACAGCTAATTGGCTTTGGGAATTGATTGTTCATGAGAGTGCTCTCGCTCTGATCACTCCCCACCCCCCGGCAGCGACAGGTAGCACTGGGGGCTGGGGTGGGAAGGTGCAGGTTCTGGCAGGTATCCCCACACCCTTTACTCCGGGGTAGGCAAAAGCCCCATTTGGTTCTTATTGGAGATGGAGAATCAGGTCATTGGGCCAGGATGGGGCTGGACCTGTGCGGAGGGAAACAAAGGGGACATTCACTTGTGTCTGAATTAGATCAGATTAAGAGCTTGGCAGCCATTGTCGTTATGGCATTGGGCCTGTAATGCTATAATTAAATGTCAGCTGCTGTTTCCAGCACAGGCCTGTTTTTCAGCTGGAGAGAAGCCATCAGTTTGGATTCTGGTCAGACTGCAGCTCAGCAGACTCGGCTTCAGAGCGGGGCTTTTCCCCGAAAGGTGGTTTAGGTGAACTTAACTCTTGTCAAAGACAGAAGCAGCAGCAAGGTGATTCCAGGGTGTAGGTGCCTGACTGAAATCCTGATGAAAGGCTCAGTTGTAAAATGAGAATCTGGAGGCTGAATATTTCGAGCTTTGGGAACTGCTGCCTCTTGATGTACCCTGGCCAATGCTGCTACACTATGCTTTGGTGGGGACTCCTCATCCCCAGTGTTTGGGACTGGAGAGCCACGTTGTTTACCAGCAGACGCCCACCTCGTTATAGCAAAAATTCATTTTAGGTTAGGACAGACACTGTTTGCATGACAGGATTTACCCATTGTACAGTGTCGTATATCCCGGAGCCTACACTGATAGCACCCGGGGTCAGGCCAAAGCCAAGACTTGCCTACACAGGAGGTCACTGTTCCAGCTTTCCTTTTCTCTCTTGCAGGGTGGAGTTCACAGTAGGGGACAAGCCCATTAACAACTTCCGCATGATCGAGAGGCACTACTTCCGGGACCAGCTGCTCAAGAGCTTTGATTTTGAGTTTGGGTTCTGTATCCCCAGCAGTAAAAACACTTGTGAGCACATCTACGAATTCCCACAGCTCTCAGAGGATCTCAGTAAGTCCAGTCGTGGGTTTGCCTGGAGGGATGTTTGGAAGGGGTTTTAATGGGAGAGTCCAAACCAGCGGAGAAGCACCTGTGCTAACCAGACAGCCCATTCATTCGCTTATGCCAAGTCATGGTCAGCCACAGTCATGGTGAGCCGTAACACAGCTGCTGGCTTGCAAGGGGTGAAGAAAATTTCACTTTGAGGGAACCAGAGCAGTCGTGCTGTTTGGCAGATACGGACACCTGCCTGGGAAGTGGCCAGGCGCTGACGGGCACGTTGTCAATGCAGTACGTAGGGTTTACCTATGACGCATTGCACTGATAAAGCTGAAGCCTGTCGGGGCCTTTTAGACTTCACCCTTCATTTGCCTTCCCTTTCCCAACCTCGCTGCCGTTGGTATTCGCTGCCTCTGTGTATTGTAGCTCATGGCCGTGTGTATCAAAGCACTAATGCTGCAGTGGGTTTAAAACACACTGATTCCCTGCTGCTTTGCTGCTGCCACGGTTGCTGTTTTATCACCTTCAATTCCAGTGTAGAACGGGGG